GAGTTTAGATGTGTACCATTAAAGAATACTAATACTCTGACCGTTTAAAGGATAAGACAAAATTTTTAAAATTGGTCAACAAATTATTATTAAAAACGGCCTAACAAGATAATTTGTTAATTATTATTATGATTTGGTTGACCCATTCTGCATCGTTATTGGTTTATAATGAATGGTTCAGCTTTCGAGTTTTGACTGCAATATTATATTAATATTAATATCGTATCAGCATTAGTATTATTAGTATTAGTATATTAATATTGTATTAGTATTAATATTAGTATTAATATATTTTATATGGATATCCGGATATTATTAATATCCAGATATCCTATCCGTTTATCAAAACTCTATTTGTTGAAAGGTGAGTTTTTTTTTGAAAAGATTGAAAAATGATAAGAAACACTTTGATTTTTTTAATTCATCCTTCCCAAAAAATTACGTTTAGTAAAAGTCGAGTTTTCTTGGTTCAGAAATATTCATTCTGCTCGCTCATTCGTTCTGGGAATAGAGTTCCGAACGGGTCAGGTAACCGGGTCAAATAACATTTTAAAATATTGAATCGAATTGTTGATTAATCACTGTGATAATTTTATAAGACAAATTAATTTTTGCAAAAATTTGTCATTTAGAGCGAGCCATTTAAGATGCCGTGTTTTAACACAACCTGAATATTAGTATCGGTATTACGTATTAATATTAATATGTAGTATTTGTATCAATAAAAAATTGATCCCGTTTATCATGCAATATGACTATCATTACCGCAAAATGATAAAAAAAAAAATGCAAACAATGTTGCCAATAAAGGGAATTTATTTCTTGAAAGATCTGTAATTTAGAAATTGTTTAAAAATGCAAATTACAGTAGAGAATGTTCAATTCAAACAAATAATTTTTTTAATTCTTCTTCTTATTATTATGAAGATCAAGTTGCCTTTTTTAGGGGACTGTATGTAGAAGTAAATCTAAATAATAAACAATATAAATGTTTTGTATATATAACCTCTGCACCTATCATATTTTGCTTTTTTAACTTGTTTTCCTAAAATGGAAAATCTGTGACAGATTCATTGTCAAACGTTAATTTTTTTTTAATAAAAATAAAGTTAAAATATTATGTTGTGTTTAATATATTTTATATTTATTTATCTCTCTTTTTTTCTTTACAATATCAACCGATTAATTAATTAATTAATTGTTAATTAATTAACATTCATATGTAATTTTTATGTGTGTAAAAATTTTCATAATATCACACATTTAAATAAATATTCACACATTCTTTGTTTTTCCCACTCAACCACACTCATTAGTTACTTTTTTCTTTGTATTTTATCTCTTTGTCGCATTCATTCACTATTTTTTTAATCAATTAATCATTAAATATTAAAAAAATTAACCTCAAACAAAGACGATAATTTACTTTTTTTAATTAAATTTACATATCCACATAATAACGAATATATCCTCTAACAACTAACTAAATTATCTCATTTCCATCAATACGTCAATAACCACCATACACCGTTTACCAATTCCATAAAACAAACAAACATCATAAAATTATATATAGAGATAATATCTTTATTAATGTTAAAAAAGGAAAAAGGATTTAAAGTTAAAGGAAAGAGATTTTTTTCCTAATCGACAACAATATAATAATAATAACAGTAAATAATAAGATGGTAGATTATATTTTCACGGTTTCAACATTCGTTTCCGTTATATTAATCTTGATTCCTCTAGGATTTCATATTCAATTAAGAAATTCAGGAGCAATATTGATGACAATGTGGATATCGATAACAAATTTTATTTTGTTTGTGAACTCGATTCTTTGGGCAGACGATCTAGAAGATAAAGCTCCTACCTGGTGTTATATAACGCCGCCCATTTATGTAGCAGCCCATGTTGGATTAATGGCTTCTATTACCTGCATGATTTATAATTTATATAGCTATGTGGAATATCCAACAATCATCACCGAGGTGTACAAAAGAAGGCAAATATACACTGAATTATTCATATCGATAGTAATGCCATTTGTTCTTACTGCGTTAGGATATTTAGTATTTAAAAACAAATATAGTATAAGACCTATATTAGGCTGTTTCTTACACGCTCATAGTCGTTGGCTTTACATTTTATTACTTGGTATTTGGCCTGTTATAATCTCTGGAATTGGATGTTATTTGGCTGGTAATTATTTGCCTATCATTCATTATCTTTATATTATTAATATTATTGATTAATTAATTGGATAAATTTTTTATTCCTTTAGCAAGGACATCTTACACTATTTTAAAAAAAAGATTAGAAATTCAAGCGTTATTAACATATTGTGAATCAGGATTAAATGCATCAAGATTTTACCGATTGGTGCTATTTTGCATTACATTTTTAATCCTAGCATTACCAGCAACATTGCTTACAGTGTTAGGTAATTTGAATAATGGTCTGCTTCCGTACGATTTCTATGAAGTACATAAAAATTGGAATACAATTATGCGTTTTACTGCTGAAACAGGCGGCCTTTCAGTATTAGATTATGCAAAACCTTTAACTGGATTATTTGTATTTTTGTTCTTTGGGACCGGTCAAGATGCTATGAACAGTTATCGTAAATTTGGACTTTCAATAAAATTAGACAAAATATTCCCATGTTGTTTCCGGGAAAGAACTATATCACCGACGGATACTGGTTTTAGTTCAAGTTTGTATGTGTTGTTATTATTGTTGTTGTTGTTTTGTTTTTGTTATAATCGTATATGTGTTATACATGTTAATTAATTTATTTATTTATTTATTTATTTATTTGTTTCTTTTTAGTACACAAAATAATTCATATCCAAATTCACCAGCTTCGCCAAATTCCAAAACTTATAATGGTAAAATGATGACGTCAGTTCCAAGTACAACTACTAGAACAATAATGTCAACATCAAATAAATTATATAATAAAAATAAAAATAATAATAAGAACCCCGTTGTAAATTTCTTATTCGCGGATGGACATCGTACACCATCAGAACAAGCAAATTTTGATTTAACAAGTGGGATTAAATTCAATATTGAAGGGATTGACACAACTACTATAATGTCAATAACAAATCATCGCGATGATGATGATTTTGACTATGATCATAAAATTGTCAATGGCTATGATATTAAAAATAAGAAAACTAACGACAATAATAATGATGATGATTATGATGACATTATTGTTAGTAGTAGTAGCAGTAGCAGCAGCAGCAGCAGCAGTAATAATAATAATGATGATGGCAATGTAAATTATAAGAATTATTCATCATCTACATTGGCAGTTAATTCATCATATAATAATACAATAGTGGCATCTACCCCAACATCTTATAGATCACATTTTTATGAACGTAATGATGATAATCTAAATCATATAGATGATTTATTGGCGGTTTATCCACCTGACATAGCAATTTCAAGAAGTCATAATAGTAATATTGGTGAGGAAGATTATAATAATAACAATGCAAATTATCATAGAGAATCCGGAATCGATAATCTACCGTATTAATTAAATAGATTATTGGACGAATATTCGAGCGATAGATAAATAAATTAAATTATATTAAAGAAAAAACTTCTTTAATTTAGAATCGATTACTATTATTGGTATATATACGTTTTATTTATATTTATATGTATTAATTAATTAGAAATAATTTCATAGACATTTATATATATACGTGCACACACTGTTTTTACTATTTATTTATATACATACATATTATCATTATTATAATTTATTAATTTTTCTTGTATATTGTATATATATGTAAAATTGTTTCTTTTTTTTTTTAATTTATTGATTTTTTTTTTTTTTTTGTGGGAAAACGAAAAAAAAATAAAATGATAAATAATTAATCGCAAGTGGAACATCATCAGATACTTTTGATATTGAGAATGTTTTTCCTGCTCAAGTATGTTTTAACAGCATAATAAGAATATTTTAATGGCTTTGGGCCAGGGTGCGAAATGTGTGATCAAAAATATCGTGGGAATGCCCGGTTTGGGAAAATTTTAACGGAAATCTTCAAAAAATATCGGATCAAAAAAATTTTCTTAAATAACAATAAATACTAGTAGTATGGTTTCTATTCAAGTTTGTTTGAATAAAATAATATACGTATTCCCATTGTTAATCCAATCTAATTAAAATAATTTTTTTTATCAATCTATTTTCCTTCATAGTCCTTGTATATAGTGATAATAATAATAAATATTGGGTACCAGATATTTTTTAAGTCATAGTACTGGCAACCATAGCAGTAGCAATATATAGATTGTAAATATAATTATTGTAATTTTATAATCCCTTAACGATAAGAATTTATTGCACCAAGTTGTGAATATTTTCCAAAACGAATAAAACTAATAATTCGAATAAAAACAAATAATTCGAATAAAACGAATAATTCGAATAAAACGAATAATTCGAATAAAATGAATAATTCGAACAAAGCGAATAAAACGAATAAAAGCGAATAAAAGCGAATAAAACGAATAAAATGAATAAAACGAATAAACGAATAATTTAGAATAAACGAATAAAATGAAGAAATTGTATTAAGTAAAAATTTTAATCTAAAATTTATACACCAGAAAATGGCTGATTCCCAAAATTTTTTATCGGACTGCCTGGATTTTATAATAGGATTTTGCACTCCGCTTTGAGCTCAAATATTTTTTATTTTTATTTATAACAATTATGTGTTTTTCGTTATCGTTGAATGAGATAAATAAAACATGTCTTATCGCTTATTACAATATTCATGATGATCATTTGATATTATAATTCTTAAATTTGCAAAGAGTTAATAAATTGATAATAAACTTAAGGAATCAATTTTAGGAAAGCCACACAAGCAAAGATGAGAAATTTAGCCGAGTGGTAATTTTCATTCCCTTAATAATACAAGTCTATTGAAAGGTGAACATGACCTCTTTGCATGTATAGGATAATGGTCCATCACCTTGTCATCCAAGTGGTAGTAAAAAAAAATTTGTTCCTTTTTTTGTGCGCGTCGTTACGTTGTACGTGTGTGTGTCGTTGCTATACGTGTGCTGTATGTGCTTCCAATTACAAATTGTAGAGTTCTTTAAAAACCAACCCAAAAAAATAAAATGAATAAATCTGACTGATATTGATCACATGCGTCAGATTTAATAACCTCCCCCTCTCAATCATGCAATTGACTCCTCGTAATTATGGAATTTTTTCTATCACAGGTGAAGGTGAATTGAACAAGTCGGAAGACTTTGACAAGCAAAAGTAAATTGGACCATTTAACTAATGTTTCTCTAAAATTAGCCAATAAACTACCTGCGAACAACCTCCATAACAATAATGCAATTTCTATGAACCCCAGGCCAGCCTCCCTGAAATAATTGCATCGTTGTATTAAGGTCATATTAGTCTTGTGTAGTTATGTTGCGAGGAATATATGAGAATGACTGTAATGGTTTAAATATTTGAGCAAAGTAATTCCATCCAATAATCAAACGTTGCATATCGAGTTGTTTGATGTCTCCAAATTGTCCAGATGCATGCAGTTTTCCGAGAGAAAAAGAGAAATAGTGAGAGAAGTAGAGAGAAGTAGAGATCTTCAATAACCGTGTTGCCTTTTTCACCTTTAGCGTTTCTTATAATTATTTAATATCAATGACGATAAAGAATCTTATATAATTACCTGTACATAAATTTTGCTCTACATTTTGATTTTTATATGATATTTAGGCTATCGTGTAAAAGAACCAAAACGATGATAACGATCACCTTCAAACTAATATTCTGAGAAGTTAGACAAAAATACTCTTGGCTACAATCAGATATTGAAGTAGCCAACGAAGAAGAACAAAAAGAAAATTCCGATAGAGGGTTAACAGCATTAAGAATCGCTGTAAAGAACTTGAGGAAAAGAACATGTGTAAATCTTGGAGTCTTTAATTTGAAAAATATGAAGCACTATTGTCACAAAATATATCGAAGGCATTATTGAGTAGAGCATATGTATGAATATAGTATCACATTCACATTCATATTCGTATTGCATTATGTTATTGAAATTATTTATTAATTGTTTTTAGTTTTTCTTTTTTCTTTCCTTTTTTTCCTAAAAAAAAAGGGACCCAAGTAAGAAGAGTTGATCAATTCAGGAACGAAGAATAGTTTTGAAATTGAAATTTTAGAAAATGAGGGAGATCGGTGGTGTGAACAATTCTGATGGGAGTATAATAATTGAAGGTGAACAGAGCGACTGAATGGATCGATTGAAAATGACCAAAGATGAAATACGGGAGCTAAAATATGGGATACAGGAATTAAAAAACGGTTTGAGATTGTGGCATGATAAATGTTTATTGAGTATGAGAGAACATGTAATAATCGAAACGAATCTAAAGAATGAAGAATATGGCCGAACCATTGAACGAACAAATTGAAAACTCTAATAATAACGTAATTAAGTTTAAAAATAGAACATGATGTGCATCCATGGCATTACAGACTTTTGGGGAATGTAGAATAAAAGGAGAGTATGGTTGTTAACGGTCTGGTCCGGTCCAAAACCGTCAGTCTAATAGGGCCGGTCCAGACTGAATGGACCACGGTCGGGACCGTGTCTGGTCTTAGGTATTAAAGACCGTTTAGACCGTTGAATTTTTTTTTCATAAAAGCATTTATTTCAATTTGCTAAAAAGATTACTCAATTCCAAATTATTAATACCTTAAAGTCTCAGAAGATAGCGCTCTATCTTTTAAAACTTTACGGTATATTCAAAAAAAAAAAAATATAGTTTTATATAAATCAAAATTCATTCACTGTCTCTATGAATCCTCATTCCTTCTATACAAATTTTTCGAAATATTCGTTTTGTTATTTGTTTTATATGTTTTATTCGAATAATTTGTTTTGTTCGAGTTGCTTGATTTATTCGTTATTCGAATTACTTGAGTTATTATTTGTTTTGTTTTTTTTTTTTTCAAATCATTTGAATTATTTGTTTTATTCGAATTACTTGATTTATTTTTTATCTGGTTTATTCGAATTACGTGATTTATTCGTTTTATTCATTTATTCGTTTTATTCGCGTCATTTGTTTTATTCGAGATTTGTTTTATTCGGATAGAAATCCTAAGTTTGGCTTCGGACCAACCCAACGGTCCGGATAGTTAACATCACTGATGGAGAGGAACTGAAAGAAATGCTGAACGATTAAATAAGTCAGTTGTAAATTCTAGCAATAATGTAATTATGAGATACGTGAATTAAGATGATACGAGTTTGTGATATGATAAATTTTCCGCTAGTGAGAGACTACGGAATTAATGAAGATGAAGATGAACTGAAGAATACAACTGAATGGTTGAATGAATCAATCAAAAATTCTTATAATAGTGAAATTAAGTTCAAAGGACGAAATGTAGAAATTAATAACTGATATAAATTTGAAATAACTTTTCTTTCTTATACACATCTCTATTATTATCATAAAATAATACCATCGATTCGCATTCAAAAATTTATATTCTTTTTTATCTTTTATCTTTTTAAACGAAAATCTTTATTGATTTGCGCTCGGACAAACAAAAAATAATGTTTACTGCATTTGTCACAATCGCATTCGTTAATTTAGTCACAGCGAGACTGAATATATTAATGATTGGTTTAAAAGAAGACACGATAGCAATAAAAAACGGGAATTCTTTTAAAAGAATAAATTTCATTTTATTAAAAATTATCCACCATTATAGTAAACTTCGTGTTACGTACACTCTATCCTTATTTTTTTAAAAAAAATTTCCATCCATTCATCCATCATCAATTCCGTAATTTCATTCGTATAGTACATGCATTCATTCATTTATTCATTCGTATTATTTTTCCAACTTTGAATCACTGTTATTATTAGGATAAACTTTCCGACCCTTTAGATTTTTTTTCTGTGGATTATAAGAAGTGGCAATGCTTTTAGCATCAAAGAGATCTTTTGGTTGTTTTTCAAGTACTGGTAAATCAACACTACGTCGAAAATCTTCATTGTTTAATATTATTGTTTGTATTGTACCAATTACTGTTGAGCTGATAAGATGTACTATTATTGCCTTTTTATTTTTCCACGATATTGATGATGAGTGGTTAATTAATTGATAATTAATGATAGTTAATATTTAATCAATCAGTCAATTAATTAATATAATAATAATTTAATAATAGTAATATTCAATCAACTAATAACAATCTTACTGAAGGCAATGTAATTCCAATTGGAAGTGAAACTAAAGTCAATGCACGGAAAAAATTGGCATATTTTAAATTTGGAGAACTAGCAGGTGCTGTCCTCAATCCAATCTTTTTTAGTAAATTAAATAAATATTAGTTTTCTTTACATTAATTATTATTATTTTCAATATACACATATTATTATTACCTCCATCATTACAAAGAAACTTGCAGTAGCAAGGACAGGCAAAACGTAATAAGGATCAGGTGAAGATAAATCTTGAAACCATAAGATACCGCCAGTTTTAAGATCTGGTACGTCAGCTTTGGAAATATTTCTTAAAGCCAAAAAAAAACAAAGTAGCGTTGGTGCTTGAACAAGTGCAGTTAGTAGGCCTTTAAATGGACTAACATTATGTTTTTTATACAAATCAATAATTTCCATCTTTAATTCTAATGATCTTGCTGGATTATTTGATTCTTTAGCAATTTTTAATTGGTCATTCAGTGCGTTGAATTCCGGTTGAATTTTCTGAAATTTTGCAACATGACGTTGTGAACTGATTAAAAAAGGTAAAAATGCCATACGTAATAAAAATGTTGCTGCTACTATTGTTGAAAACCATGATAAACCTGATGTAACATGTAATGTTTCTAGTAATCCTTCAATAAATCCTACTGGTGTAGAATTCACCAAT